ACAGGGAGAAGAGCAGGGGAGAAAGAACACAGCCCTGTGGGGCTCCTGTATTTATAAACCGAGAGTCCGAGACATTCTTTCCCAGACGCACTCGCTGCTTCCTGTCCGTCAGGAAGTCAGTGATCCACCTGCAGGTGGAATCGGGCACGTTGAGCTGGGAGAGCTTGTCCTGGAGCAGGGATAGCAGGATTGTGTTGAAGGCAGAGCTGAAGTCCACGAACAGGACCCTGGCGTAGGTCCCCGGGGAGTCCAGGTGCTGTAGGATGTGGTGGAGGGCCAGGTTAATGGCGTCGTCTACAGATCTGTTGGCTCTGTAGGCGAACTGCAGGGGGTCCGGGAGGGGGGAGGTGAAGGACTTGAGATGGGAGAGAACCAGGCGTTCAAATGACTTCATGACGACAGACGTAAGTGCTACAGGTCTGTAGTCATTGAGTCCTGTGATCCTGGGCTTCTTCGGGACGGGGACAATGATGGAGGATTTGAAGCAGGCCGGGACATGGCAGGACTGCAGAGAGGTGTTGAAAATGTCCGTGAACACAGGAGTAAGCTCACTGGCGCAGTGTCTCAGAGTGGCCGGAGACACGTGGTCCGGGCCAGGAGCTTTGCGGGGGTGCAGCCTCAGGAAGAGTTGTTTAATCTCTTTAGAGGCTATTGTTAGGCTGGGTGCAGGGCTGATGGGTGGGTCGTTAGAGTAGTGGGGGGTGGGGGAGGGAAAGGTGTCAGGGGCAGCATCAAAGCGACTGAAAAATAAGTTCAGTTTGTCAGCTAGCTTGTGGTCGTCAGCACAGGGGGGGGCTTTGGGTTTGTAGTTGGTGATCTCCCGTAGGCCCCTCCAGACAGAAGCAGTATTGTTGTTACCAAACTGCTTCTGTAGTCGTTCTCTGTGCCGGGACTTGGCTGCTTTCAGTTCTTTCCTGAACTGATATTTAGCTGCTTTTAGCCGCTGCGGTCCCCCTCCCTGAAAGCAGACTCCTTTGCTTTCCTGAGCTGCCGGAGTTTAGCAGTGAACCAGGGTTTGTCGTTGTTATAGATGACCCTGGTCCTTGTTGGAATGATGCTATCCTCGCAGAAGTGGATGTATGATGTATAAATCATGTGCAATGTGCAATACTGCTCCTTCAGAATGTGACTTTACTTTATCTACTCATTATCCTGCCCTGTACAGTATACAGTATATAACAATATGTACAGTATATAACTCTGCACTACTACATATATATTTTTTGAAAGACTGGTATTGAAGCATTTACAACTAGTTAAGAAACATAGCTACTACTTATTTTGTATATTTTGTGTGCTGCCTGTGTGCTCTTACTACTGTCCTTCATGTGCGCTGCAACACCGAAATTTCCCCCTCCGTGGGACAAATAAAGGATCGTTAACTTATCTTATCTTATCAGGTTATAAATCAAACATTATCAATACAAACATATTTGAAACCCCAACAGTTGTTGGATAATCTTGGAGTAACTCTTAACCCCAGGACTAGAAAGTAGTTTTCATCTAACGATGATCTATTGTATGATCTTGGGCGGCACGGTGGCTGAGTGGATAGCACTCTCGCCTCTCAGCAAGAAGGTCCTGGGTTCGAATCCCGGTTGGACCAGGGCCTTTCTGAGTGGAGTTTGCATGTTCTCCCCGTGTCTGCGTAGGTTTCCTCCGGGTGCTCCGGTTTCCCCTACCACTAAAAATATGTACAATAGGTCTGGCATGTGCCTCCTGTACTGGCACCCCCACTCCCAAAAATAACAATTGTAAACCGCTTTGAGACTCCGATGTGCAGTGAAAATACTTACTTAAAGGAAATCAGATTTAATTAAAAAGATGAGATTTACAACTACTTTCTCTCCTTGGTAGAATTGAATGTATTTGACTGAATGTTCTTCCCAGATTATTATTTCTATCCCCAAACCTTCCGGTTTGACAAAACCAAAGACCAAGAGTGCGTCTTAAAATGTCCCCTAAGGAAAATGGGGGCTTACATTTGCCTAAATTCAAATTAAACTATAGGGGCCGCCCAGATTAGGCTGTGGTGGCATGGAACATTAAGCCTAGCGTACATCGACAGAGAAACTGGGGACAACTAGTTGATTACATAAACCTGTCTGGTTCACGAAGCTCTAAACCCTCTGAGCCGACGGCCGTCTGATAATTAGAGAAATTAGCTTCGTCCAAAAATCCTCAGACCAGATCTCTGCCTGCACCATATGGCAGCTCACACCAGCGAGGCCTAAATAGGCACAATGTGACTCATGCGGACAAATATAGACTCACTGCTGGTTGAGAAAGTAGTGAAAAATAGATCTGGACTTTAGTGTGGATTTTGTAATGATCATATTTACAGTACAGACCAAAAGTTTGGACACACCTTCTCGTTTAAAGAGTAGTATTTATTTTCATGATCATGAAATTTGTAGAGTCACACTGAAGGCATCAAAACTATGAATTAACTCATGTGGAGTTACATATGCAAAAAAAAAAAGTATGAAACAATTGAATATCCCCTTTCACCTTCACAGCCTGGGTGTGAATCTACAGTCAATAGTCATGAAAAGAAAGGAAACTCATTGAATGAGAAAGTGTGTCCAAACTTTTGGTCTGTACTGTATGTATATTCAGATATGTATGTGTATTATCTCGACTCTACCCTACTCTACTCTCTCCTGATTGGGAGTGTTTCCTCTGGTCCTCTATTGCCAGAACCAGGTCCCCCTTAAGTCCCTCTTGGTTCTGGTTCTATTCAGGGCAAGCTGGTACTAAACTGTTCTATCTGACAGTGATTGCCCTGATAGCTGCTAGAAGCCATGGTTACCAAGGAATTTCCCTGGATAATGTTTTGCTGTGGGACAATTAAAGGATACAGAAGCGTAATGGAAACACAACCAGGAAGAAAAGAGTAGAGCTGGTCTCTCTCTCTCTGGTCTCTCCCTGGTCTCTCTCTGGTCTCTCTAGTCTCTCTCTGGTCTCTCTCTAGTCTCTAGTCTACTAGACTCTCTCTTTGTGGAGTGAATGACCATCATCTTGACCTACATTCAGGGCCCTCAGTGGCACCAGAACACATATCACCAGGTGCGTTCTTCTGGTCCTGTCCCTGATGCAGAGATAGTTCTGAGCAGAGGGAGCTGAAGCTGCAGATGTAGGTTAAGAGACAGGGAGAAAGACAGATAAATCAGAGAGAGAGAGAGAGAGAGAGAGAGAGAGAGAGAGAGAGAGAGAGAGAGAAAAAAGAGGTAACCTGTATTACTTTCAGACCAGGTCACGCCACGTCCTCCAGAATATAGGTTAAGAAAGAAGAGCGTGAGAGAGCGAGAGAGATGGGATCATTATGGGAAATACGCTGTGGCCGTATATCCAACAACAATAACAATCACAATAATTAAAACAGTAGTACTAGAGAGAGAGTGATACCAGAGAGAGGGACCAGAGACCAATTCAAATTGAATTCAATTTTATTTTGTATCGCCCTCATTCACAACTGTCTCGGAAGACTTTACAACACAGATCAGACCATCAAACAGTTCAAACACCAGTCAGAGAGAGACCAGAAAGAGACAAGAGAGATACCAAAGAGAGTGACCAGAAAGAGACTAGAGAGATACCAAAGAGAGTGACCAGAAAGAGACTAGAGAGATACCAAAGAGAGAGACCAGAAAGAGACTAGAGAGATACCAAAGAGAGAGACCAGTGAGAGAGACCGAAGAGATACTAAAGAGAGAGACCAGAGAGATACCAAAGAGAGAGACCAGAAAGAGACTAGAGAGATACCAAAGAGAGAGACCAGCGAGAGAGACCGAAGAGATACTAAAGAGAGACCAGAGAGATACCAAAGAGAGAGACCAGCGGGACCAGAGAGAGAGACCTGAGAGATACTAGAGAGAGACCTGAGAGATACTAAAGAGAGACCAGCAAGATCAGAGAGAGGCCAGAGAGGTACCAAAGAGAGAGACCAGCGAGACCAAAGAGAGAGATCGGAGAGATACCAAAGAGAGAGACCAGCCACAGACCAGAGAGAGCTGCCCAAGAGATACCAAAGAGAGAGACCAGAGAGAGCTCCAGGAAGATGACATCAGCTCTAGGAAAAGCCTTGCTGGTGTTATGTGTCCTGGTGCGCTCACTGGTGGATGGGGGGGTAGGGGGGTCTGGGATGTAGGTCAAGATGATGGAACAGCAGATTGCTCGTTAAGTGTCCATCCAAGCAAAAGTCTCAGTATTTGGAGGTGGCATCAGGCCGACCATCTGCCCGTCATTCACTCATTTAACCGCACACACATCACTCCAAGGGGCATCATTGTTATTGTCCCAGTACCACAGAGCTCCGAGTCACGTGACCGGTGAGGAGAGCGAGCTGATTGGCCGGGACAGTAAGCTATAAACGCCACTCGCTGCCCAGCCGGTTCATAAGCAACAGGAGAAAGCACCAGGAAGAGTTGGATGTATTTCTGAAGGAGATGCAGAAGTAGAACCAAAGACATGGAGCCTACAGCAGAATGAATGTGAACCGGTAAGTTATTATCATCACATTTACTTAAATATTTTTTATTTCTCTCTGGTCTTTTCTGATTTGAATGATGTGATTGTAAGTCATACTGCTAGCTTAAACTTTTTGGATATTTTGATACATGCCTTTAAGACACAGAAAGAACATGCAAACACCACACAGAAAGACGTGACGTTAGAAAGGTCCAGGATACTGACCTTTATTGAGAAATCATATATAAACGATATTTTTCGAGCTTTGGACAATGACAGAGCTAGGAATTTTATCTCTGGTCTCTCTTTCTGGTCTCTGTCTTTGGTCTCTCTCTTCATACAAATATGTTTCTCTTTCAGATTTTGAGCTTAACAGCAAAAAACCTAAGAACCTTTGAACCAAAGCCTCATCTTCGAACCAAAGCCTTGTCTTCGAACCAAAGCCTTATCTGCAAACCAAAGCCTCGTCTTCGAACCAAAAACGACCAAAGTCTGAGTTTCTCGTAGATTGCGTTTCCATGAAGATGAAGATGGAAACCGACACCAGCAGCTGGCGAGAGAGAGACTTTGCTCAGAACTGCACCTACATCGTCCCAGACCAGAGCTCTGACCCCAGCTTCAACCTCCCCCACGCCATGACATCCATTCCCCGCAACCTCACCTTCCAGTACGGCCACGACAACGAGGTACAGACACATACACATACACACACACACATATACAAATATACAAGTTCAACATCAGTATAAATCTGTTTGAAATCAGTATTAGCTTATAAAAATGGACTTGGACATTGGACTCTCTCCCCTCTATCCTCTCCTCTTATTCTATTTTATTACTTCCGATTCCACTACTACTGCTCTCTCCTCAACCCTCTCTCTCCTTTCTCCCTCTGATGTTTCTCTCTCTGATATATTCGGTCTTTCTCTGTTGTCTCTTTAGCCTCTCTGTGGTCTCTCTTTGGCCTCTCACAGATCTCTCTCTATTGCTACAGCACTGTTGTCCAGTATTGTAGCAACAGAGCTGTTTGGAAACATCTTCTCGTTCACACGATGTGGTTGTGAGAATGTGGAAGCAGCGGTGATGTCACACTCACCTCGTTGTGTTTGATGCTGTGGCGGTTTGCTCTTCCTCTTTTCTCTTTTTAAGCTGTACTTCCTCAGTCCTCCTCTGTGTCTCTGCTCTTTCTCTGCATCACTTACAGCAACTGACTTTCCTTTCAGTTCTCACTGTTGCGAAATCTAAAAACTACATCCACCCACTTGTATGAGAATATCAGCTTTCCAGTAATTATTAAAAAAGTCTTTGTGAATCAGAACTGGGAAATTAACTTTATTTGTCCGTACACAAATAGAAAACGCTAACGTAGACAGTATACAGATGGACAATAGTAACATAGACTGTACAGTATATAGATGGAGAATGCTAATCCGCTAGTTTAGGCATGTCCAAAGTTTGCGATCCTGCCAACTTCAGCCTCACAAATATAATCAGGGCTCATAGGTCCCAATTGTAAACAGTTTTACAGTCCATGTCGTCGGCCCCTGGACAAGTCTGCTGAACTGAAATGACACCCAAGTTTGGACACCCCTGCTTTAGCTCAATGTAGCCCCATAGGGAAGTGCCCGTGGATAAAGTTTGGCTCCAACTTTCTGCCTCCTTCTGACTTACGCATGCAGCTAAACTCCTGTAGCTAACGCTGCAGAAGAAATGCTATGAGTTAATGATAAATTTAGACATTTTGGACTCTTATTTGGAATTGATTTGGTGTACTATATTTGTACTAAAACAGCACTAAACCAAGACAAGAGCTCTAACCTGGACCTGTTTTGGCCTACTCTCTTTACAAGGAGCAGTAAAGGGCTTCTAAATAACCTTATAATCACAACACGCATTGTTTTAATGTCATGTTCCTTGAGTGCAGTAGGACACGTGGCAGATGGAAGCATTAGCAACGGGTGCCGGGGGGTGTAGGGGGCAAGGGGGGGGTAGTGCCCCGCGACACAGGGGCACTGGGTTGGAGTTAATACGTTGAGCAGAGAGGGGCATATTGTGTCAGATTGTGAGGTAAGGGGGATTTACGCTCCAACTTGCGGATTAACTTTCGTCAAAGTGGCAAACAGGCATCAGGTTTCTGGAGAATGATACATAAATATTGCACTGCTGCTGTTCTGGGACCAACTGAGGTCTTCAATTTAGAATCCCAAGAATAAAAGCGTCACAGTTTCTCAGTCATCGATCATCAAAAACTCAAAGTGTGCCCCAGGTTTCGACATTAGGCCCTGTTTTACTACTACTACTTCTACTGGTAATACTACTCCAATACTATTGCTAGTACTGCTACAGCTACTTTTATCTATGGAATTTTACTACTACTGCCACTGATACTGCTGCTGCTACAAATGAGGAAAAATTGAGCAAAGTATAGTGGTATATGTAGTTTTTGCATTGAACCAAAAGATTGTACTTACATCATCTTGCAATTAATACTACCACTACTTCTACTACCTCAACAACTACTACTATTGCAACTGCTTAAGCTTTCTAAACTCAACAACTATTTCAACTTTCAAAAACTATGGACACTGTGCTCCTGCAGCTGTAACACACAACAGCTTTATTAAGTTTGACTGCTTTGACAAGTGTTGCATCACTGCCTCTCTAAGGAACGCTCATTTAGTTAGCTCTCCCACCTCCTCTACCCCCCTCCCTTGCATATACTCTGCTATAATAATGCATTTAAGCAGCGTTTATTACTCACGCTCCGTCGGTGAATCACAAAAGTCTCGGCCTCCGACGGCTGCTGTTACAAAGATTCAGTTACAGGTTTAACCCCAGTTCACGCTAACGACAGGACTCTCCAGGACCTTCACTTTCACAGGGCCTCAATAGTGTTTGGACCAAAGACCCAGCTCCCAGGACAGTCATGTAGACTGTAGCAGCGTTTGGACCGAAGACCTGGCTGACGTGTAGACTGGGAATTATGGAAAAAAATCACTTATCTGGTATTAGCTTTAATCATGTTTTATAAGTTTTTTTTCTTGCAGTTTAGAGAAGGAAACAAGAGAGAGATCAGAAAGAGAGAGACGATAGAGAGAGAATAGAGAGAGACCAGATCATTAGTTTCCACATACAGAGATGACCACCCTATCTCGGCCAATCAGCTCTCAGCCCAAAGCGTCACCTCTCTCACACAACAGAAGAAGATAGTGGCCTCACTCTCAGCTCGTCTGATCTCTGTCCTGCTCAGGTGTGAGAAGGCAGGGGTCAGAGGTCAGTGGAGCAGGTCAGAGAGAGTGATTGTAGATTAGTTCTGTTTTTAGAATGTGGGTCACCTGTGTCTGGGTCAGTGGGACGAAGATCCAAACAGCACACCGTAAACACAGATTACAGATCCTCAGAGATCGGCTTTCACACTGACAGAGGCAGGTGCTGCTGCTACTGTGCCCTGAGGCAAGACACAGCAGTGTGAGAGAGTGACATGTCAGAGAGCTAGTGACTAGTACAAGTAGTAGTAGAAATACTCATGTGCACTACAGTTAGAGACTATCAGAATGATGTAATTATTTGATTGTATGGATGGTTGTGTTTCTGCTGCCAGACACCTGCATTCTCCTACGGGACAAATAAAGTATCTCTCTACTACTACTACTACTACTAATATTGCTACCGTCGCTGTAGTTCAGATGTATCAGAGAATCAATATATATCTTCTTGTTTATAGTACTTTGAGTTGTGTATGAGCTATGCTATACGAATAAACCTGCCTCTATAATCGCATGTGTTGTGTTGCAGGTGACCGGGGTGTTCAGTAAGGAGTACATTCCCATGGGAACACGCTTCGGGCCTCTGCAGGGCGACGTCTACACCAGAGACTCAGTCCCCAAACACGCCAACCGCAAGTACTTCTGGAGGGTACGTACAAGTACTGCACCTGTGTCAAACGTACACAAATATATAACACAAGAGAGTGTCATAGTTGTTGTATCCTTTGGCAAGGCATAAGAGAACATTATTATTTTATAGCATTTACTGGACTCAAAACGCTTTAACAGTTTTAATTTGCAAGAGCTCCTACTACTACTGCTGCTGCTACTGCTACTGCTGCTACTACTGTTTCTACTACTGCTGCTACTACTGTTACTACGAATGCTGCTACTACTGGTGACTCTAGTACTTTCCGGTGTTCTGTTCTCTGTGAATGGCCATCCGTACGTAAAAGTGGTTTATGGGAAATGTTAAACATCTGCGTCGCCGTGGCGAGGAAATGCCATTGCTCCCATGGTGACTAGGACTTTTGCCCAAATGTTTATTAAATGTTGTTTTTGCGGAAGTGGTTGATCACTCTCACACCAACATCATGGGAGGAAGTACTGCTATTGTAGAATCTGCATTCAAGGATGTATGACACAACAAATACTACTGCGACTAATACTACCACTGCTAATACGGCCACTGATACTACTATTACGGCTACTGCCACTTCTAGATTTCCTGTGCGTTGGGCAGTACAGTCACACAGAGGAAGAGGTCATTGTTGCAGGTCTCTCTCCTGAAGGTGAAACAGTCTGAAGGAATTCCTGTGAATCCCTGAAGGACAGAGACAATAGTTTGAGTTTCCAGATTGTTTGAAATGACATAGAATCAGTTTCAGTCACATGACAAGAGCAAAGAAGGTCACAGACTGATGGAAAACTACAAAAATGACCAAAAAGTACCAGTGCTCACTCTGAACCACAGACTGTATACGGTAATGCTTCAATAAAAAAAGACAGAAAACAAGATGAAAAACAGATACAATCAAAGACATAATCAAAAGGGATAAAATAAAACGGGCAGAATCAAAGACATAATATAAAACAAAACAGACACAATTGAAGACAAAACAGAACAGGATTCAAACAGTATAATCAGTATACAAGTATGTCTGTGTGTTGGGCCGTGTACAGACATTACTAAATGAATTGGAGATTCATTGTGAAGAGAATATTAAGCATTGTCAAATTATATATGATAATGCTAACAGATTGAATGTGGTAATGTTAACACAAATGTCCTATTAGTGCCTCTTTCTGCTTCAGCTGTGTTCTGCTGCTGATATTGCGGTGCAGAGGATAAAAGCAAACGCTGATTCATTTCAGTTAAAATACAATGTTGAATATTACTCAGGTTTTTAATGCCTTACATTCCTGTGATAGAGCAGAACGTCCATCAGTCAACACTGTAGTTACATTGCAGTAGTTACATTACAGACGCAGGACGAGTCCAGATACATCTCTGATCTCTGCTTCGATTATTTCCTCTGAAGATAAAACTTGACTCAGCTTCCTTTGAGCAGGAATTTGGACTCATCGAGTGCCAGAGATTCTCGGCTGCTGATGTGCGGTCCGAAAGCTTTCACTATCGCTTCACCTGGGATTTACCAGAAACACTCAGGACCAGAATGAACAGGACAAAGAAACACACACCCTCTGAACATTTGCATAAACCTAATGTTGTCATTCTGAAAATTCCGCTTTCACTCCAAGTAACATTCCTCAACTGTCGTGTCAGAAAAAAGAGTCACACACGCACACACACATGTACGCACACTCAGATGAAGAGGGAGTGTGCAATTGTAAAACTAGTCACTCCCACTGCCTATAAAAACAACATCAACAGAACACAGCACAGAGTAACACTCACACTGAGGAGACACACACACACACACACTGAGGAACGCACACACAGAAGAGACACTGAGGAACGCACACACTGACGAGTGCGTACAGGGACCACACATTGGGACACTAACAGCGCTCCTCACATGGCACAGGTGACTTTATCTTTATTTAGTTTTCTCTTTGATCTGAGTCTGATTTTATTCTTTATGAAATGTATCTGACTTTACACTTTAAACAGAAGAATGTGCTTCTATGACAGAATTGTATCATATTTAAAAGACAATAACTTTACTCAAATCTGATCGAGTTCACCTTGTTATAATGTTGTGTACATGAATAAATACATAAAATATGAGAATTTAAGGATTTCTGTGGGATTTGGAGACGTCAATATAGCCCTGTTTCCACCATCTCTACTCTCTACGCAAAAAATTGGAACTCTGGTCTTTCTTAAAATGTGAGACAGGGTTCTACTCAAAGAGACTAGAGAGAGTCTTTGTAAGAGAGACCAGTGATACAGAAACCAGGGGGAGACCATAAATGTTTGTTTCTGGTTCTTGCAGATCTACAGTGGTGGGCAGCTGGAGCACTTCATCGATGGTTTTGACGTGCGAAGCAGTAACTGGATGCGGTTCGTGAACCCGGCGAGAGCACAGAGCGAGCAGAACCTGGTGGCGTGCCAGAACGGCCACCACGTTTACTTCTACACCATGTGCGCTGTGGAACCAGGGAAGGAGCTGCTGGTCTGGTACAGCCCCGAGTTCTCCCAGAGGCTTTGTGGAGACAAAGCAGGAACGGACGCCAAGAACGGTGAGTTTGGACTGTTCACACCATCTGGGAGAGAGAGAGAGGAGAGACCAAAGAGACAGAGAGGGACAAGAAAGAGACAGGAGAGATTAGAGAGAGAGAGACCTGAGAAACCAAGAGACCAGAAAGAGAGAAAGAGCAGAGAGAGCTAGCTGAGTGAGCAGAAAGAAAAGACAGAAAGAGACCAGAGAGAAAGACTAGAAAGACAGACCACTGATTAAAGAATCAGCATCCATCCATCCATCCATTTTCTTCCCCTTAATCCATTTCTGGGTCGCGGGGGTGGCAGTCAGAGCTGCACCCAGTACACAGAGCACCAGCCCCTCACTGATCCTCCGGCAGGTGGTGAGTCCACAGGAGCTGAGATCTTTCAGTGGGAGCTTTAGGCAAAGTGGGGTTAAGTGTCTTGCCCAAGGACACAAGAATCAGCAGTGTTTGAATATAAAAACTAGAACCATGACTTTGAATCAGTGACAAACCTTTTTTTAGTCTGACTCACGGTTTAATTCCTGTACAGAACTTTTACTTCCATTTCCGTCTCTTATCTCTGACTCACCTCAGACAGCTGTCGCTACACATTCAGACTGTGACGAACCTCCTCCTCCAGATTAAAGATCAGATTCAGATGCAAGATTTCATGAACTGAGCCTCAGCAAAAACAAGAATATGCTATAACTGTTGTTTTGTTGTGTCGTTCAGCAAGGCACCTCAGAGTACTGTACGTGTACTGTACCAAAGGTGTACAGTCATATAAAGATGTTTAATGAAGACAAGAGACCGGTTCTACTACTACTACTACTACTACTACTACTACTAGTTTTGCTACTAGTACTGCAACTACCACTACTACTACTACTACTAGTTTTGCTACTAGTACTGCAACTACCACTACTACTACTACTACTAGTTTTGCTACTAGTACTGCAACTACCACTACTACTACTACTTCTACTACTACCACTACGACTACTACTACAGCCAGTAGTAGTCCCCTAGTATTCCAAGTATTCCTGCAGTATTATGATTTTCACTTTCCCTGTGACTCCTCAAACATCGATACTTCAGGCTTCAGGGAGTGGAGTACACTCTGTGGTCAAAATACTGGGTGACTAAGTATTTGAAGTACAACAGTAATTACTGCACTATCATCCTACACATGTGACACATGGTAAGGTCACCAGGGATGACGCACCAGGAACGGGTTTGACAGAAGTGAAAACACAAGTCCTTGCATGTCTGACCTGCGGTTAGAACTGCTTTTGTTTAGTCTGTGCCAGAGGAAAAGAGAACAGACTTTTGTTTAGTGATAATAATCTAGTAATGATAATAAGAGACATAATAGATGGACAATGCTAACCTGCGAGCTGAAAAAAACACCTTGAAAGTCAAGTTATTCCAGATCACAAAGATGAAAGAACAACTAAAACAGAAGTGAACCTTGACTCATGACACAGAAACTCCCACACACTGCCCGTACCAGGAACACACCAGGAACATACCGGGAACACACACGCTATACCTGTTACTGTAAACCGAGAGCACAAGTGAAAGTAGAGATCAGGACGCGCTCCAGTAATGGTTCAAAGAAGTGAGTAATGACCATTACCTGTCATTAGATACAGAGTTTAGAATTAATCAACAACAGATCAGAGAATCAAACAGTGCAAGCAAAGGAAGTTTTGAGGATGTAGATCCAGGACTGAAGCTGTAGACCCAGGCCCTCTCTGGTCCAATCTGACATAATTCCACTTGATGTACAGATATCCAACCCTTTGCGACCTCTCTTGAATCATAGTACTTGTTTTTCTCTTTCTCAGAATGCGCTGACGAAGATGACAAAACCGAGACCACCAGACCGTACCTACCTCAGTCAGCCTGGCCCTGCGACCTCACCGCCGACCGTCTCAAAGAGGAGCGTGAGGACGAGAAGATCGACGTGGAGATCCTGGAGCGAGACACTCCCCCAGACACTCCTGAAGACCAGGTCATGGACTTCAGCAAGAAAGACCAAAGCCACGACCGGGAAGATGACCGCCAGGCTGGTCCATCGCCTCAGCCAGACCAACGAGAGGCCAACCAGGCTCTGAACCAGCAATACTTAGCAGAGCGTGCTAGGAACTTCCCTCTGCACCTGCACGGCTTGTACGGTCACAGAGAAGGCCTGGTCAACTCTTACCCCCTCTACCCTCAGTCCAGACCTCTGCAACCTGCCGCGTACCATCTGCTACCACACTACGGGAGCCACTACCAGAGGCTACTCATGCCTTCGTACTCCCCCCCTTTCCCTGGCATGGTTCCCTCCAGAGGACAGCTACGCTATGCTAACTACCTGGGCACAGACGGGCTCCCGTACCCGGCTATCGGAGCGCAGAACCTGGTCTCAATGGCGTATCCGTCCTCGACGCAGGGAGGGTTGAAGGAGCTAACGGCAAACGTATCTCCGCCCAGAGGAGCCCCAGCAACGCCCGAGCTCTCCCCCATACCCAAGTCTCACCAGCAGCCGGTTCAGAAGGTGCAGTCTCCGGAGCAGACCATGACAAGCTGCGAGGAGGCCGTTAACCTGAGTCTGGCCTCGGCGAAGGGGAGTGGAGCCTCGAGGAATGGGCCGGGACACAGATCGCTGCCGTATCCTCTGAAGAAGCAGAACGGGAAGATCAAGTACGAGTGCAACGTGTGCATGAAGACCTTTGGGCAGCTCTCAAATCTGAAGGTAACTTTATGTTTGGAGATAATCAACAATACCTCTTTATAGTTAACTGCAGAAATTAACAATAGATGGGTCCATGCTCACAGCTTTCTGATTGAACTAAAAGTATTAGTCCTTCCCATTGAACTATTCTCCTTCAGTGAATCTTACTGGGGCTGTAGATGAAGGTCTCTATAAACTATAAATATAGGGACATAGTATTATTAGATTATCAACCAGATTTTTACTCTTTTTCTCAATTAAATGTGGTATTTTTCACATAAATGGTACTAAATATTGTACATTTTGTGTTTCTCAGGTTCATCTCAGAGTCCACAGTGGGGAGAGGCCTTTCCAGTGTAACTTGTGCAAAAAGAGCTTTACTCAACTCGCTCACCTACAAAAACACCACCTGGTCCACACTGGGGAGAAGCCACACGAATGCCAAGTATGTACTGTCTATGCCCTGTCCCCACCAGCCCTACTCTGCTCTATACTATTATACTCTGCTATGCTCCACTCTACACTGTCAGTTATAACACTTTGGTACAAGCTCGGCCTGGATAGAAGGAAGGGCCAAGGGGGAATATACAGTAGAAGGACCTGGTAATGGGACCAGAGGAAACACTTCCAAACAGGGGAGAGTAGAGTAGAGTAGGTATAGTTGACTAAGGAGACAATGGATTGAGTAAAAGTAGAAAATCTGAGCTGAGTCAGTCTATAATCCTCCTGTAATTAACAATGTGTTACATAATGCTATGAGTTATGACTTCTGGATGACATATGACCAATGTAGATGTTTGAAGTGGTTCCACCTGTTTCTATCAATATCGTCTTAAGGCTAAACTAATACTGGCATTGTTACAACACCACGTCACGATTAGCAAGTCACGAACCCACACACTGTTTTGTTTTCAGAACGGAACTGTTTAGTATGCCAGGTTATTGCCCGGTGGAGATAGCATGTGATTATGCCAGGGAAATAAAAAAATAATATTTTTGTTTGCTATTCCTCAAATCTGAAAGCACCTTTGTATTAGCTGAAAGTGTGAATCATAGGTTTGTATAAAGATATTAAATAAACAAATTATACCAAAATTAAATCTAATCTAAGAGCAAAGATAGTAATATAATGTACGGATGTACAAAGATAACCCGCTAGCTCAATGAAGCTCAATAGGGAAGGGCTCATGGTAAAGTTTGGCTACAACTCTCTCTGGCTCTTTTGACTTGCATGTAGAATTGAATGCCAAAGCTGCAAGCCAGCTCAAATATACCGTGTCAAAGCCACTAACCGTGTCTTTGTTTGGTGTCTTCAGGTCTGCCACAAGCGCTTCAGCAGTACCAGCAACTTGAAGACTCACCTGCGCTTACATTCAGGCGAGAAACCCTACCAATGCAAATTGTGCAACACCAAATTCACACAGTACATCCACCTGAAGCTCCACCGCCGGCTCCACAGCGGGAGAGACAGACCCTACCGCTGCCATCTCTGCCCCGCAGCCTTCTTCCATCGCTTCTCCCTTCGCATCCACCAACGCAGCTGCTGCACGGCTAGCACCAACGCCCCGTCAAACGCTAGCATGAAGGAGATGGTGGAGAGGTTCGATGCCAGCCAGGAAGCCGACACGCTAACAGAGACTGCAACCGTGCTGCAACTGGAGGAGGCCGTGGAGCGGTGGTTAGCTCGTACGCTCGAGGGCGAAGGCAAGGAAGACCAAAAAGAGGCTACGATGCTTCTCAAAACATTTGCATCTGTCTTGAGTTCAGACCAAGCTTCGGTGCATCACACAACAACAATGGGTTACCAGGAGCGGGCCAGCGTGGTGCATCTCCACAAGAGGCCGGCTGTTGTCAAGACTGAAGCGGAATGCTAACAGTGCTAACAAAGCTAACAAACTCCAGGCCTGTCACGATTATTAGTCAACACACTACACTTATATTAATCTTTTAATTCTTCTACACCTGAGAAATGTAAGCTAGAAATGTTATTAACTACGCAAAACAATGCTAAAGAAGACAGACGTTTTCGTTGCAACATGTCGAGATAATAACATTGTCATTTAACATTTGTCTGATATAAAAGAATACAATCAGTTAAGCCAAAGTCTGTCTAACAGCTTTAAAATGACTTGAACTGAGTTTTTTGACCAGTTTTTTTACTCCTTGAACCTCGATTGTCGTACTCTAAATACGATTTCTGACCATTTTCAACATACCAATCGACTTTATTTCAATGTAAGATTTAGTGATTTCACATTAGAAAATAAACATTTTTCTTGGTCAAAAATACCAACATATACAACATTAACGTGAACACAAGTCATTTTAAACAAGACTAGTCTGAATGTACAATACTGTGGCTTCTGTACACTGGAATATTGTGTATTCTGTGATCTTCTTTGTGATTTGGCTCTATCTAACGTTTGAGGTAGTATCGTGACAGGCCTCTCATTCACACTGCTTTAAACTGTCGCCAAATATGAAGCGGTTCCAAAGTACAGGCCAGACGTAACATCTTGAATGAATTAAGAAATGTTGTAGCTATCATCGACTGTATACTGGTGGACGATGCTAACAAGCTAGGTAAATTCCTCTCGCTCGGTAACCGTTTGTGTCACACTCACCATTTGGGCTCAAATCCATTGCCATAAAGCCATATCAGGATTGGCCAATCAGAGGCCTTCATTCAGGGGGGAAACTCGGGCTTGCCTTAGCATCCATGTTAGCGATACGTTTGCCACGTTGCAGCGCTAAGCTAATGGCGTGGAACAAACATCCTTATAAGGAAAATATCTCTAGCTAGCTCTGCTTCTCATATACAGTCTATAATACTACATAAGCGTCTATGGTCTCGGCCAAACTTTTCTTTTTTTTGTGTTGTGTTTTTTTTAACCAAAATTTAAAAGTGAAAACATGATCAAACTGTGAATTCATGAACTCAGGTAGTGTTTGTCGAGCTTTAACTTATTATTATTGTGTTTATTATTATTTGATTATTAATATAAGGTTTGCTTTTCTTAGTGTAGTAGGTTTTTTTATGTCAATATTTTTGTGTCAAACTCAGGACATTTTTGTAGCTTACTTTTCTTACTAATGTTATGTATTTTTATGTTTATCTGTGTGTGAAATGTTTTGAAATGCACTGTGAGGCACAACTTTTTTGCTGACAATCTATTTTATTTATTTATGAATAAAAATATGATCAAATTCGCAGGAGTATTTGCCAATACTAGAGCGAGTGTTTGAAACTGGACCTTTAAATTTAAATGTGAAAAGTTCATCCGGCTTCTACGTTTAAGGCTCGGAAGGTTCTTTTGATATGACAAATAGAGCAATAATGATAATAGTGCATGATTACTATATGTTTGAGAGGTAGACTTGGACAATGCTAACAGACTGTATAAACATTGACAATGCTAACTCCAATAGGGAAGTGCTTATGGACAAAGTTTGGGTTCAACTCCATCTTTAATCTCTATATAAGGAAATTGGCTTCAGTTTATGTTCAAATTGGCTTCTTCTATGTCTATGATGTCACACTCTGTCCTCTCCTCATAAGCGCTCTATAGTGTGAGGTGTAGGGCCCCCACATCTCTGTTGATGGTCAGATGTTGCTGATTGGAGGTTTTCCTATTTCAGCAGAACTACCTTCTCTATACTCTTTGTCGAGTTAACTTTCTAAGCCTTATACTTTGAAAAACAATTTTGAGCTAAACTTTATGAAGAATATATTTCCAATTTCAAATGTCAAATTTCATTCCACTTCTAGGACGGTGGTTTTTGGTTTTAGTTGCGAGAGTTTCAACCAGTTTGAACAGTATTTAAGTGAAATGTATGAACATATTATTTATTTGGTATTTATGAACTTTGAAGCGCCAAAAAGAAAATAAGACATTAGCTACGCCGTCAGCTTCTCTGTGGGATTTGTCCCATGTCTGTCTCCGTCTATTCGTGAATTGTTTATATGTGAAAGACTATTTTTACTACACTTTTATATCTGTTGTAGAATATTAAATATATGTTTCTATATTTTTGTGTTTGTTTGATTTTAGATTAAGTCTGGGCTCAAACATTTATTCTATAGTTTGAATGGTTCAGAAAGAGAACACAGGGGAACCACGGAGGAACCACAGAGTAAAAACACATTCAAAAATAAACTATGAAAATAATGAGGTACCATAAGGGACCTTTATCTCTCTCTGTTTGGAAATGTCAATGTTGCATCGCAACAAACATGGAAATATGAAATCAGAAGACCAGAAACAAGACGCTCCAATCCACCTTCTCTTCTCTACTCCACAGTGTGCCTTGGGCAGCTGTGACTACAGTCGTAGAGTGAAGAGACCAGATTACACAACTAGTATTATTATTATTATGTGATGAGCCAAGACTTTACTCAGTACAAAAGATGATGATCCATGTTCGAGGAAATTGCGCCCCCATGTGTTCAAAGCGGGACAACACTGGCACTGACACTGCAGTTACCCACGCTTTATAATGCACTCAAGCACTATATATATATATAATATATATATATATATATATATATATATATATATATATATATATATATATATATATATATATATATATATATATAATAAATTGCTTAAGGGTCTGGGAGGCCTGGGAGCTTGAGGGTTCTGCGCAGTAACAGCAAAGATACTGCGCAGAACCCTCAAGCTCCCTGGCCTCTGGTAGAGGACCCGAGCTTAGAGAGGGATAACTGCCCGCGGAGGGCCAAAGGTGAGTGGATAATTTTTTTTATATATATGAAGACTATGAAAATTGTAGATTCTAAAAGAAAAGTATGAAACAACTGAATATATGTCTTATATTCCAGGTTCTTCAAAGTAGTGCCTTTTGCTCTAATTACTAATTACTATTTCTGGTCCTTCTGCAGGTGGTGAGCCCACAGGAGCTGAGATCTTTCAGCAGGGGCATCAGGCAAAGTGGGGTTAAGTGTAAACATGTGTTAAGGACACACCAATAGCAGTCATCAGTGGGAGTTTGTGAAGTAGGTCTTATGGTGGGCTTGAACCCACGACCTTCAGGCCCAAAGGCCAACGCTTTCCCAAATGAGCCACTGTCGGCTATATAATGATAACAAACACATAGGAGCCATTAGTCCACTCCATAGGGAGTGAGATGACTGAGATTAGATCCAGGATCCTGCTGCACTTGAGGGGGAAGACATACCTTACTTTTTCACTTAAGAAATTACACATTGAGTTTGTCCAACATAAAGCGTGTAAAGGAAAAATGTGAATACAACATTCTGTCTTCATCTCAATAGAAACATATTTTTGTTTTATATAGTTATATTTTGTATGTGGCGACATAATTACATGTGGGTTAATTACATTTAAAAGAGAAACATTTATAATATAATCGCTCTCAAAAAAAAATCTCACATCATTAGTTTCATGTTTCGCGTCTGACATATTTTAGGTCAACTTTTTTCAGACAGAAAAGTGAAAAAGGGATCTGGATCAGATTGGTCACTCCCTGTGGTCCCTCTCTGGTCTGGTCTTTCTCTTTAGTCTCTCTCTCTTGCCTGTCTCTAGTCTATGATCTGGGGTCTCTCTTTGGTCTTTCTGGTCTATATAGTCTCTCTCTGGTCGCTGTTTAGGCTTTCTCTCTAGTCTCTCTCTGGTCTCTCTCTAGCCGCACTTTAGTCTCTCTCTAGTGTCTGGTCTCTTTCTGGTCTATAGTTGCAGTACTGCTCGCCACCAGTAGGGGGGGTCCCTCAGAAGTGGGCGTATTACCATGTTTCTCGCACCTGCCTCATTCACATTGTGTCTGTCAACATCCCCAGTTCCACACACGCGTCTCTGTCTTCAAACAACCCCGAGGACAGTGCTCTGACCCCGGCTTTGCTCTACTGCTCTGCCCGCTCCTCACCCACCGCCACCATGGCCAAACAACCCGGCTCCAAGAAGACCCTCAGGGGCCTGTTCTCCAGAGCGGACCCGGGCTTGGAGCAGACGGTGGCGGGTCTGGCGGACAGTAACACCAGTCTGGACAAGAAGCAGGGAGCAGAGAAGAAGAAGTTTAAGTTTCCTGGTTTGAAAGTGAAGCCAAAGCGAAGCGGAGTCTCTGAGAAGTCTACCCCGGAGAGCGCGCGTCTGTCCAGGTACGAATACAGCTGCAGAGGGCGCAGAGCTGGAGCCAGGGGGTTGGAGGCCCCTGGGCGGTATCATTTTTAGCCCCCAAATACTTTTCAAGTTCTAATATACTGACAAGAGCACAGGCTAAAGTGCTGTTTGGTTAAAGGCTGTGGTATATACTGCTTCATAAATAATCCATTGGTCCAATGGATTATTACCTAATTCCTTCAGTTTCTCCATCTCTGACCTGTATTTCTCTCTGTTTTCTCTGGTCTCTCTGTGTTATTGATGAATCCACATCGTCTTCAGAGACAACTGCTACTTCTAGAGCAGATTGCGCTGGGCCTTTATCCCCACCGCTGTCAGACTGTTCAAGTCACTCATCACTAATAACCAGCACTGCTATTGCCACTTTTTTTTTATCGTACAGAATTGTATAAGATAAGATAATTTCCCACCTCTACACCTTCTCCACCGACTCCCACTGATGACTGCTGTCGTTGTGTCCTTGGGCAAGACACTTAACCCCACTTTGCCCAAAAAGCCCCCGCTGAAAGATCGAGGCTATGCTCACACTCAGAGAGCAGCCGTCCTCCTGTGGACTCACCACCTGCAGAGGGTCAGTGAGGGGCTGGTGCTATGAGACTTGGGTGGCATCTCTGATTGCCACCCCCCTGACCCAGAAATGGATTAAAGGGTAGAAAATGGATGGATGGATGGATAATTTCCCTTGGGACAATTAAGTTTTTCTTTAGGATACAGTGCTACAAGAATCTGCATGAATGAAAAAAGAAAGAAAAGGAGCAATTACAGGAAAGTGCAGTAGTGCATTGAAGTCTCTGTTTGGTCAAAAAAATAAAAACATTATATATATATATATATATATATATATATATATATATATATATGCACGCACGCACGCACGCACGCACGCACGCACGCACGCACACACACACACCTGGAGTGCATTCATCATTTGTCGTTTTTGTAAAGTGTCACTGAGGTTGGGACAAAGTAGAGCTTGAAGCGGTTTGTCCTGTGTCTCACAGCCCTAAAGCGACGTCCTGAAGGCAGGGTCTCGTATTCCCCATGTAGGACGTGTTGGGGGTCACTGACAATTTTTTTGAGCCAGTGAGAGTGTGCTCTGCTCGTAGATCAGCTGGAGGGAGGGAACTTCGACTCCAACAATCTTTGATGCAGTTTTTACAAGCCTCTGGATCCTGGATTTATCCTTCACAGAGAGCGCACCGAACCAGACTGCCATGCAGTATCTGAGACAGCTTTCAAATATGGAGCTGTAGTAAATAGTCATAATTTTTGAGCACACTCCAAACAGCCGCAAGCGTCTCATATCCCGCATAGATTATATTTTTTACCTTAACATATTGCACACTTCTGTCTTTTTGCACATCTGAGTGATTCTATCTCTGCAAAATGTGACATGTAAATTTTCCCATTGAGAGATCAATAAAGTATATTTTATGTTAATAATTTGACGAGAGCATTCTGAAGTCCACAGCGGCTTAACTAGGGTGGTCACACATCAGGCATGTAGCGTAGGGCCTAGAGCCGACTTTTGGACCATCCAGTAAAGCCGTTTTCGAGAGGAAAGAATGCGGCTCATAAAAGCATTGGTTATTTCTTATTCCGGGTACACCCCCACCCACCCAGAGTGAGATTGCAAGGATGTCTGCGTACAAGCTCATGGACCTTATGGAGCTGGACCCGTGTGGGGGCAGGTCCCGGCTCAAAAATGTCCAAAATGACGTGCGCTGACATGCTTGCAATACCACCCCGGGCCGATGGCGGTGGACCCGGATTAATAATTGTTCAATGCTTATGTATAGCATCTTTTTACCTCTGAAAAAGGTCTTTCCAGGATGGTCCAAAAGTTGCTCTAGGACCAACGCTACATTCCACTTGTGTGTCAATGCTGAGGGGAATTAATTTTTTTGGACCAGTATAGTTTAGTCGCTGTGAAATTTTGAAGGCACTCGTTTAAATGAATGGGACTAGACCGACTGACCATGTGCAGATATATTTTTTCACATTTTCCAGCCCCCGCAGCCATTTTGAAACTGCCAATAGAAGCCAAAAGTGGTGGCACATAATTTTCAACGGTGGAGATAGGCGTGATTACGTCTGTTAATACTTACAGTCTAAGGCCGGGACCCGCCTCCACCCTGTCAGGTCTCTCTCTGGTGTCTCTCTGGTGTCTCTCTGGTCTCTCCCCGGGCTCTCTCTCTGGTCTCTCTCTGGTCTCTCTCTGGTCTCTCTCTGGTCTCTCTCTGGTGTCTCTGGTCAATGACGTGCCTTCTGGTCTATATCTCTCCTGGTCTACTGTGTCTCTACTGGTCTTGTTGGTGCTAGTGTTGTTGAGGCTTTTATTGTATTTGCTCATGACACGGAGCAGCAGCAGCTGCACACCGAGCCCTCATAATAAAGTGAACAGGAGCTGTTGGTTCATAGGACCTTATACCTAGCGTGTGTGTGTGTGTGTGTGTGTGGGTCAGTTATTATTGAGCGTGTGTGTCTGTGTCAGTTATTAGTGAGCGTGTGTGTGTGTCAGTTATTATTGAGCGTGTGTGTCTGTGTCAGTTATTATTGAGCGTGTGTGTGTGTCAGTTATTATTGAGCGTGTGTGTCTGTGTCAGTTATTATTGAGCGTGTGTGTGTGTCAGTTATTATTGAGCGTGTGTGTCTGTGTCAGTTATTATTGAGCGTGTGTGTGTGTCAGTTATTATTGAGCGTGTGTGTCGGGCTGTGGCTCTTTAAGGCAAACACCTCTCTATTGTTTAAACATGTTTGCTTTGGTCCTGGATCTCCGGCTCAGACAGGTGTGAAGAGTGAGACCAGAGAGAGAGGGAGACCAAAGAGAGAGAGACCAGAGAGAGAGAGACCAGAGAGAGAGAGACCAGAGAGAGAGAGAGACCAGAGAGAGAGAGAGACCAGAGAGAGAGAGAGACCAGAGAGAGAGAGAGAGAGACTAGAGAGAGAGAGAGTGAGAGAGAGACCAGAGAGAGAGAGAGACCAGAGAGAGAGAGAGACCAGAGAGAGAGAGACCAGAGAGAGAGAGACCAGAGAGAGAGACCAGAGAGCGAGAGAGACCAGAGAGAGAGAGAGACCAGAGAGAGAGAGAGAGAGACTAGAGAGAGAGAGAGTGAGAGACCAGAGAGAGACCAGAGAGAGAGGGAGGGAGAGAGAGAGAAGACAAGAGAGTGACCAGAGTGAGTGACCAGAGTGAGAGAAGACAAGAGAGTGAGTGACCAGAGGTGTATTTATTTATTTATTAAATCCAGGGTTTTGCTTCTTGCTGCTGTAAGATGAAGGTTTCTGCAGAAGGAGATGTTCCAGGAACTTTTACTGTTACAGACACACATCTGAGGGTTTCTCATGTTCTATCTAGCACTGTATGTACAATAGGGGGAAATGAGAGAGAGAGAGAGGAGAGGGGAGAGGAGACTTGGATAGTTTTCTAATATGTCCTGTGTCTCTGAAGGATGGTTGATGGTTTCCACTTTGATCTAATCCAAAACAGATTCTGTTGATGTTAATGTTGTAATCTCTATTGTTGCCATAACTTAAATCCTGTCCAATCCTAATTCTGCTCCACAGATCTGAGACACAGACAGCTCCAATGAATCACAAATAAACATGTGATTATCTGTGACTGATGTCAGTGTTTACACAGAATAAACTTTAATCTGGAATTATCTGAGGTCAATAATTATCCATAATCTGTTTCTATAAACCTTATAATTATCATTATATAATTATGGTTGTTGAATGATAGTGAGAGAGAGAGAGACCAGAGAGAGAGAGACCAGAGAGAGACCAGAGAGAGAGAGACCAGAGAGAGAGAGAGACCAGAGAGAGAGAGAGAGAGACTAGAGAGAGAGAGAGAGTGAGAGAGAGACCAGAGAGAGAGAGAGACCAGAGAGAGAGGGAGGGAGAGAGAGAGAAGACAAGAGAGTGACCAGAGTGAGTGACCAGAGTGAGAGAAGACAAGAGAGTGAGTGACCAGAGGTGTATTTATTTATTTATTAAATCCAGGGTTTTGCTTCTTGCTGCTGTAAGATGAAGGTTTCTGCAGAAGGAGATGTTCCAGGAACTTTTACTGTTACAGACACACATCTGAGGGTTTCTCATGTTCTATCTAGCACTGTATGTACAATAGGGGGAAATGAGAGAGAGAGAGAGAGAGGAGAGGGGAGAGGAGACTTGGATAGTTTTCTAATATGTCCTGTGTCTCTGAAGGATGGTTGATGGTTTCCACTTTGATCTAATCCAAAACAGATTCTGTTGATGTTAATGTTGTAATCTCTATTGTTGCCATAACTTAAATCCTGTCCAATCCTAATTCTGCTCCACAGATCTGAGACACAGACAGCTCCAATGAATCACAAATAAACATATGATTATCTGTGACTGATGTCAGTGTTTACACAGAATAAACTTTAATCTGGAATTATCTGAGGTCAATAATTATCCATAATCTGTTTCTATAAACCTTATAATTATCATTATATAATTATGGCTGTTGAATGATAGTGAGAGAGAGAGAGACCAGAGAGAGAGAGACCAGAGAGAGAGAGACCAGAGAGAGAGAGAGACCAGAGAGAGAGAGAGACCAGAGAGAGAGAGAGACCAGAGAGAGTGAGGGAGACCAGAGAGAGTTAGGGAGACCAGAGAACCCTCTGAACTATCCATGGTGTTCACGAGTTTTCTTCCGACTATAAATACAGATAACTGGTATACTAGCGGTCCTATGGACACAGAGACCCAGACACACTGTAGCACTAATAGAATCGCTTCTTGTTGACATTTTGAATATGATCCACACCTTCTTCTTCTGCTCAGCTGGTGTGTGCTTGCTGGTTCACACCTCATTCCTCTGCTCAGCTGGTGTGTGTTCGCTGGTCCTGGCTCACAGGGAACTGGACGACCCACATTTCTTACTATTGTTTCCACATAATAAGTCAATAAAGAAACAGATACAAGTTTGACACAGTGACTCACAGGAACCAAGCCAAGTGTAATCTTACATAAACAATAGAGAGACCAGAGGGAGAGAGACTAGAGGGAGAGAGACTAGAGGGAGAGAGACTAGAGGGAGAGAGACTAGAGGGAGAGAGACAAGAGGGAGAGAGACAAGAGGGAGAGAGACAAGAGGGAGAGAGACTAGAGGGAGAGAGACTAGAGGGAGAGAGACTAGAGGGAGAGAGACTAGAGGGAGAGAGACTAGAGGGAGAGAGACTAGAGGGAGAGAGACTAGAGGGAGAGAGACTAGAGGGAGAGAGACTAGAGGGAGAGAGACTAGAGGGAGAGAGACTAGAGGGAGAGAGACTAGAGGGAGAGAGACTAGAGGGAGAGAGACTAGAGGGAGAGAGACTGGAGGGAGAGAGACTAGAGGGAGAGAGACTAGAGGGAGAGAGACTAGAGGGAGAGAGACTAGAGGGAGAGAGACAAGAGGGAGAGAGACAAGAGGGAGAGAGACTAGAGGGAGAGAGACTAGAGGGAGAGAGACTAGAGGGAGAGAGACTAGAGGGAGAGAGACTAGAGGGAGAGAGAGGGAGAGAGACTAGAGGGAGAGAGACTAGAGGGAGAGAGACCGGAGGGAGAGAGACCGGAGGGAGAGACCGGAGGGAGAGGGAAAACGGCAAGAAATGTGTTCTCCGCTAATGCAAGCAGCGTCTCGTGTGAGTGTGTGTCATACAATGGGGAATAAGAACTCATTCCCCATTGTCAGTCCTGGTTTAATCCTGATTTAGTTCATTTAGTTCCTGGTTTAGTCCTGGTTTAGTTCATTTAGTTCCTGGTTTAGTCCTGGTTTAGTCCCGGAGTAGTCCTGATGATTAATGATTTCACCGCAGTGGTGTTCCAAGGGTACCCCGGGGCCCCAGGCAACAGATTCCTTGGGGGCCCCGATACAGACTACATAACCACATAAAAAGGTTTATATTACAGTAGGTATAAATATGTTTTTATAAATAATAAAAACATATAATTTCTTATTTTTAACAATAAATGGATCGGCCTGGAGCCTGCCTGGCATACTGTACTGTCTACCACAGAAAATTGTGAATATTTAAGTACTTCTTGTGACACAAAGCAATGAGAAAGAATTTGGCATGTCTTTTTATAAGCTTGTTCACTACACTCATCATGTTATAATTAATTACAAAAGCTACATATCCAAGTGTATTAATCCTACAAAATCTAATCTTTCTTTTGGCCCTCAGTGTTTAAACACCAAGGGCCAAATGAAAGATTAGGCTCTTAGCTTTAATCTGCAAAAAAACGCTTGTTTTTACTTTTTACCGTTCTTGAGCAATCTGTCATAAAAAATAATATTTAGTCCATTCCAAACACTGCCCCTGGCAGGCTTTTTTACTGTTTATAAAGAACGTGGCAAGTTTAGCATCAGACAAAAAGTTCTTACTGTATCCGCCAACTCGTCACTGCAGGTAGCTGTTGTAGCCTGTACAAGTAGACTGCTTGTGTCAAATCAGTCGGCCCTCGGGGGCCCCTGCCGGTTTGGGGGCCCCAGGCAGCTGCCTCTGTTTCACCGTATGTATCGAGTCGTTGTACCCAACGCCTCTGCCGCGAGAAATTGTACCCACCGCCTCTGCCGCGCCAAATTTCTCACGCAAACGGACGTCACCATTTACTTTGCATTGAAACTGGACGCAGTATGATATGGTGTGAACGCTGCTTTACAGTTATTCCAATCTAGTTTTAGAGCAAATGGCAAATAAAGTTAATCTTGAGATGTTGTGAATCAACCCCAGGACAGAAGCTAGAGACCTGGTGCAGATGTTGGCTGAAGCTCTTACCCGTTCTCCAGCTCTAAATTCCACCACAGACACATTCTTTCCTTTGATAAAAAAGTGTAACATAATCTACAGAAACTCCCTGCATTATCTGATCTCACATCTCAACATCCAAGTCCAACACCCGGGTTATCACGTGTCTGTGTGTGTGTGTGTGGATCTGGACTCTCTCTCTGGTCTCTCTCCCTGGTCTCTCACTCTGGTCTCTCTGTAAGTAAGCTTTTATTTATATATATATATATATATGAGTTATGCAATTTATTAAAGCACTGTTTACACAGAGACGCTGCGACACCAAAACCCTTGTGTAGTTGCTGTGCACTTCGAATACAGAGCCTGGTTGTTTTTGCAAATTCAGGCTAAGCTAAGGGAAGTCGGCAAGTCAGATCCCTAACTTTGGGATAAGGATTAGCTCTAAGGGCTGGGTTGGTCGGGCTGGGGTGCAAAGCAGCTTCCCCGTCGCCCTAACCCTGCCGAGAGATTTACACTGGACCCCGCCGGAACCGCAACACTTTCCCTTAGTTTAAAGCTCAGGGACATAACTTTTAAACCCCAGAAATAAAATCCCTGGTTCTGGCTCTAAAAAAAGTTGCTTCTGTCACTAGTTTCATGTATTTCTGTGTCTGTCACATATTTAGATCAAAGAGAGGACCACCCTCACCCCTCTGTTCTCTCGCTATGGTCTCTCTCTCTCTGTTCTCTCTCTCGGTTTTCTCTTTCTGGTCTATCTCTTTTCTGGTTTCTCTCTGGTCTCTTTATGGACTCTTTCTTGTCTTTCTCTCTCTCGTGTCTCTCTCTGGTCTCTCTCTGGTCTTTCTGTCTTCCTTTCTGGTGTCTCTCTGATCTCATGCTGCTCTCTCTCTGGTCTTTCTGTCTTTCTGGTCTCTCCCTCTCTCTGATCTCGCTCTGGTCTCTCTCTGGTCTCTGACACAGTTATTGAACGAGAGGAGTATACATTTACATGGAAGTCATGAGAATCGAAAATGACACCGGGCCGTAGGGAGTGATGTTTGAGGATAGGGGGCCGAGGTATGTTTGGATGTGGGATATTGATGGGGGCGGGTTGATGAGGAGGACTTCTGATTTGGAGGTATTGAGTTGAAGAAAGTTATGGCCCATCCAACTGTTCACATCATTAAAACAGTCAACCACAGCAGCCAGACTTCCAGGGTCGTTGGGTCTTAGTGGGAGGTATATCTGTGTGTCGTCCGCATAGCAGGGGCCATAACATGTTCTAGGGGGAGCATATACATAGAAAATAAAATCGGACCTAAAATAGAACCTTGCGGCCCATCATGGGTAATGGAGGCTGTTGAGAAGGTAAAATTACCCATGGTGACTGCAAAGGTTCTGTCTAAAAGATAAGAATAAAACAAGTGCAGTAACTCTGATGCTAACCCATGTTTCGAGGCGATCCAATAAAATCTTGTGGTTGATTGTGTCAAAGGCCGAGCTTAAGTGTAAAAGAATTAAAACAGAGCACTCTCCTTTGTCTGTGGTTAAATGAAGGTTGTTTAAGAATGTAAGGAGGGCTTTCTCAGTACTGTGTTTGTGTTTTAAACATAGACTGTACATTTTAAAACAGGAGAGGTTGTGGTTATTGTTAATAAAATATAAAATCTTAATAGAAACAATTTCTCTAATATGATGGATACAAACAGTATCCAGTTTATAAATGGGTCTAAACATTTTTAAATTTGTAGTGCTTAATTAAGGTTTCTTTAAAAGTATACAGTCTGGGTTTGTGACATTATGTGTGTTCTTAAAGTTCAGTACCTCAGCTTTTAATACCTTTTATATGAAGCCTCTCCCTTTGTTACTGTCATTACTAGAACCATCTGTTTGACTTCTGGTTCCTGGTCCTGATCTGGTCCTGCTCTGTCGTTGCCATGGTGAATAGCGTTGGTGTTTATTTCCCGTCGTCTTAAAGTCTCTGCTGAGCCGGTTCAGTGCCATTCACTGACTCTGATTCACCCAGTTCTGATCTGTGATGTCACATGTTTAAATACAGCTCTGAAGAATCAAAAAAAGTGGATACTACATTAAGGAAGACTTATCATGCCTTATCTTTGGCCATTAAAATAGAATGTGAGATAATGTCAGTGAGACATGTAAGGTTGGAGCAGCATCTGCAGTCAGAACTCCCTGTGAAGATTTCCCATTTAATCTGAGAAAGCAGTCAATTCTCTGATCTCTCTCTGGTCTCACTCTGGTCTCTCAATCTGGTCCCTCTCTTGTGTCTCACTCTGGTCTCACTCTGGTCTCACTTTTGTCTCTCTTTGGTCCTTCTCTTCTGTCTCTCTGATCCCTCTCGTGTCTTTTTCTGGTCTCTCTCTGGTCTCTCTTCGGTCTCTCTGTGGTCTCTTTTTCTGGTCCCTCTCTTGTGTCTCTCTCTGGTCTCTCTCTGATCCCTCTGGTTGCTCTTTTGTGTCTCTTTCTGGTCTCTCTCTGGTCTAAACAGTAACTTTCCTTTAATGTGTTTTCTCCGTTTCTCTTCAGCGACAAAGACGTGGAATCTGTGGATGATAACGTTTCCATGGAGACGGACCGATCCTCTCTGTACGCTACTGCTCCAAGATCAAAGGTCTGAAACCCCTCCCCTTCTGACACACACACACGGGGCCTTCACTCCGGATCCTGCACTGCGTCCAGTTTCAGTGCAAAGTCAATAGTGACGTCCGTTCGTGCGAGGAATTGCTTGTGCGTCCTGTGCGGCAGATGCGCGTGGCAGAGGTGATGGGTACGCGGAAAGCAAGAGACGATATAGGTTGAACTTTTCTCTGCTGGCCACACTTGCGGCAACCAATCAGAGATCAGCAAAGTTGTCACGGGGGACACTAGCAGGTTGAGCAAGAATGTTCATCGATTCGGAAAAAAAGGGTGCCATGTTTCACTTTTCTTCATTTTTCATTGTCCCTCCTAAGCACATATGTGATAATAATTTGTTTGATACACCATACATCACTCAAAAGTTGTCAAATTTTAGCCATTTCTTGCACAGATGTTAGCTCATGTAAAACGCTTGGATCTGTGCTCCTCTGCCTGTGAGCCCGCCTCCTCCCGCCTGCACGGTGATGTAGCATCACGCTAAGTTCTGAGGTAAACGAGAGCTAACTGTACAGCTTCCCCTGTTAGTCATTTCACACCTGAGAGTTAACTTTTCCAAAAATGGCAACCCGTCACATAGAGCCTGATGTCCTCGATCCTGAATCGGACATAATTATTTAGTTCACAGTGACACACGGCGAGTTAGTAGCATATTACTCACAGACCGATATTCCTGTTAGCGTCTTTTATGTTGGAAATAACACCAGGTTTACAGATCAGCTTTTGAGTGAGTCCCGTTTCAATGTAACTGTAATTCTGGAGCAGTCTTTGGTGGTGTCACCATCACGGATTACAGGGCAGTACTTCAGATTTTCTGAGCTCACGTGGATGAAATGTAGTGATTGTGCCTCCAGTGAGCATCGATGCTGCGTTCAGTGTCAGCGGTGTTAACGTAGCTTAAACGTTTATTTGCATTACTCAGTTCATACACAACACCCTCAGAGAAATTTTTTTTTTAAATGTAATGATGAATTGGTGTACTCTCCTACACACCTGGGACCATCGTAGCTACTATGGTAAAGGCCTTCATGGTCCTACAGTAGCCACATGGTGACTCTACTCCTCCTTATTTTCTGCAGCTAAAAGTCCTAAAGTCTCTAACAGCGACTCGACACATGTTTCTGCTCAACGCCACATTCTGGGTTTCATTTCTGACGCTTTTAACAGGACACGCTCATGTTCGATTTATTTAACTATGTTTGTAACTATGCCATGTCACTATGGATCCAACAGAATGCAATCTGATCTGAGGCCGCAGACCCAGGACTGAGGCCGCAGACCCAGGACTGAGGCCGCAGACCCAGGACTGAGGCCGCAGATCATGCTTAAATGTAGTTTGATAATTACTTCCTACAGTTTAACGCCTGTAATTACATGTAGTAAATCTTCTGCATATTTCAGTGGTGATAAGCGCTGTCGTTGGACTGACGGAACTGAAATATGACAAGTATAGAAACAGTAGTGCAACCGGTCCTACCTGGAGTAGTGTTTAGGGCCATCCATGCTGAATGTTTGAGACCAAACATTTTTTTCTATTCTTTTTCAGTCCTGTTATTATGTCATTGTACCACTATGAAATAGACCATAGAGAGACCAGAAAGAGATTCAAGAGAGAGAGAGAGATCAGCGCGATAGAAGAAATTAATGTAATAAATGTCTATTTATTTAATTGTTTTGTGTTTAGTTTGCTTTGTCTGTTTGGCGCCCAGCAGAGGGAGCCAGTGTGTCACCAGTGTGTGCTTAGATTTACAGTCTGGCTGAGGCTTGTGGAACTCTGTCCTTTTAAAAACCATGTGGTGTTTTACTTTACCCCAATTTAATCTTAAAACATAAACTTGGAGATCATAGGACTGGGCTCTGCTTACAGTCAACATGTGGAGGCTCAACACTGCTTCAGGTCACCTTCAAGAAGATCAGATTTAATCATTATGTCAAGAAATACAGCCTCAGTCCTGGATCTACAGCCTCAGTCCTGGATCTACAGCCTCAGTACTTTGTCTACAGTCTCAGTCTCGTTCCCTATGGACCAATGGCTCCCATGTGTTTTTTATTATTGCATTTCCTGTGTTTGGAGTTTGGACTGTTTGATTTTCTGATCTGTTGTTGGTGAATTCACAACTTTCCCCAGAGACGACTGCTGCTGTGAGTGAGACCAGGAGAGGGCAGTATACTCAGAGTTTGTGTGTTATTAAGTTTAAAGAGGAGTTGGTGGTATGTGCATTATATAAGGCCTCTCCTGCCCAGGTGTGAACCCCTGCAGAATTCACAATCCCACCTGGTCCTGTTGATGTCACATGTTTATGGTCGACCATAGAGGCTTCACTTTGATAATACGGCGACCATAGCCCTGTGTAACAGTACTTTTACCCTTTGTACATGAGTGATTTAGGGGAAACTGGAGCACCTGGCGACAGTGGCTGTCGGTAGAGCATCGGCCTTTGGGCCAGAAGGTCGTGGGTTTGAGCCCACCATGAGACCTACTCCACGATTCACACTGATGTCTGCTGTCGTTGTGTCCTTGGGCAAGACACTTAACCCCACTTTGCCTGAAGCCCCCACTGAAAGATCAAGGCTCCTGTGGACTCACCAACTGCAGGAGGATCAGTGAGGGGCTGGTGCTATGTGTACTGGGTGCAGCTCTGACTGCCACCCCCCCGACCCAGAAATGGATTAAGGGGAAGAAAATGGATTGATGGATGGATGGAGCACCCGTAGGAAACTTGGACAAAGGAAGAAGATGCACACTCTCAGAAAGCCCCTGTTCAGACCAGGATTCTCAGTTTAATTTGTTACATATTCATTTGTATTTTAATTGTTTCAAGTATATTTCATTTCCTTAATGTCATACAAATGCAGATTGATGTCTGGTCTCTCTCTGGTCTCTCTCTCTGCATGGTCTGTTGTCCTGCTCTCTCCTGATCCCCTCCTCTCTCTGGTCCCCTCTTCTCCCTGTTCCCCTCCCCCCCTGGTCTCTCCCCTGGTCTCTCCCCTGGTCTCTCCCCTGGTCTCTCCCCTGTAATTCTGAATATGGTCATGATCTTCTCTCCAGGCTCCTCAGCTGAGCAAGTCGGAGTTGGACCTCAGCTCTAAACCAAAACGTTTTGCTACGTTCTCTCTGGGCCTGAGGAGGAAGAAGAAGAGAGAGGACCCTCTGTCCAGGAGCACCTACACCATCAACCACTCAGGAGAGGACCTACCAGAGGTACGACCACAGTCACTGGTACCGACAGTCCAGAGTCATTTGACATGTCCTGGTCTAGTTAAAGCTGGGGTCCCAAACTATAGCCCCGTTTCCACCAGCCTTGCTTTACTGTCTGTCGCTCATATATGTAGATATTTGATATGAGCAAATGTGTATGTGTGTTTGATATACAGATACATTTTAAAAAGGGTTCGTGAGGAGAGTGATAACCATATGTGTAAGAATTGACCAATCAGTGGCCTTCATTCAGCTTGGCTTAGCAACACGTCTGTCTCTTTCACTGCGCTAAGCTAACGCCGTCAGAATGAATGCCCATATAAGGAAACTGGCTCCAGCAAATGTTCAAATCGGCTTCTTCAACCTTCAAGCTAACACTGTGGTGATGTCACACGTATCACACTTTTGTAATGTCACACGTGTAATGTTTTTTTTATATAGCGCATTTTACAATGTTCAGAAACTGATCATGTTTGGCCATGTCACACTGTGGTGATGTCACACTGTGGTGATGTCACACTGTGGTGATGTTACACTATGGTAATGTCACATCTGTGTGTTGCAGGCTCCTTCTGGTCTCTCTCAGATCTACACTAAAGCCCAGAGCAGGTCTCAGCCCGAACTCGACACCAGTGAGATCTTCGACATCCCGTCTCCTCCCCCTGTGTCTGTCACTGTCCACCACCAGCCAATCAGCACGCTGCAGACGAGAGACCAGCCAATCGGCATGCTGCAGACAACAGAACAGCCAATCAGCACGCTGCAGACCAGCTCCCAGCCAATCAGCACGCTGCAGACCAGCTCCCAGCCAATCAGTGCGCTGCAGACCAGCACCCAGCCAATCAGCGCGCTCAGCTCCCAGCCAATCAGCACGCAGGAGACCAGCTCCCAGCCAATCAGCACGCAGGAGACCAGCTCCCAGCCAATCAGCACGCAGCAGACCAGCTCCCAGCCAATCAGCACGCAGCAGACCAGCTCCCAGCCAATCAGCACGCAGCAGACCCTCTCCCAGCCAATCAGCACGCAGCAGACCAGCTCCCAGCCAATCAGCACGCAGCAGACAAGGGACCAGCCAATCAGCACGCAGCAGACCATCTCTCAACCAATCAGCAAGCAGCCAACCAGCATTCCAAGCACCCGTGAGGAAACTCTGAAAGCTCCCATTGCCACCATCCCTGAGCTGAACCTGGAGCAGGACGAAGCCACAACCGCCCCAAGGAAAGTGGAAAAGGCACCCTCAAGGTTCACCATGCCCAAGTTCAGCCATAACACGACTGATGCTAGCGACGTCCAAGTGGCGCAGGCTAAAATTGCTGTCCGCCAACCAGCACAACCGGAAATCACGCCTGGATACAAAATGGATGACGCTGTTGCCATAAAACGGCTCGAAGATGACAATAAGATTTCTGCAGTTGAGAACATTACAAAAGTTAACCACAAAATACTCGCCTCAACAGAAGATTCTACTATCAGTAATAATTCTGGAATTGACCCCAAAATGGCCGCCGATACAGAGGAGCCTACAACCAAAATCAAAACAGTAATCACCCCTATTCTGTTTGCTAGCGATGAGAACAAAGAACAGTACAGCACAGCTAATGCGGCTCGTGCTAGTACGGCTAATGCTAGTTCTACCGCAGCTAGTGCGGCTAGTGCTAATGCTACTACAACTAGTGGTCTTAAAGCTAATGCTAGTGTTACTGCAGCTAGTGCGGCTTGTGCTAATGCTACTACAGCTAGTGGTCATACAGATAGTTATACGACAGCTAGTGCTAATAAGTCAAAATTTGAGGTTGTAACTACTCCTACAGCTTCTCGTGATGACACTTGCGGCTTCGAGTCACTTGGAGGCTCCTCTGATGCTGCCAACGTTCTGAAATCCAAAACTCCAGTAAGCGCCGGTGAGCAGCTGAAAGTCTACAGAACCTTGTACAGTTCACTTTTCCCCACGGGTTTTGACCAGGAAGTCTTATCGCCATCTCACCTCAGTCAACACGTCCACAGTGTGAGAGAGGTCATCCTGGTCCAGGAGGACAGGGACCGGATCAGCAGGCCTCTCTCCACATCCTCTCCGGAGAAGAGAGAATATCACAGTCCAGAGAGAGAACCTCGAGAGAGAGAGCCCCCAAGTGCAGTGTGTGAGAAGTCACCTCCCAAACCTGTGTACATACGCACCACCTACGACTCCGCTCAGACCAACCCCTCGCTAAGAGACACATTTGCATATTCAGAGTTCAGCAGAGAAACCTCCTCTGACGACATCACAGAGACCACATGCTCCTTTCCTCTGCCTCAGCCCGAGCCCTCCCAGGAGACTGGCCTGGCTCAGGTTTCAGACTCCAAGAGAAAAGTGGTATTAGTCAAAGAGCTGGTGACAAATGAGAACGGTAGCAGCAGCAGCAGCAGAAACTCGGGCTGTCCTACCCCCGTCATGGAGAAACCAATAACTATCAGAACCCTGGAAGATGAAAGAAGTGATGTGGTGACAGAGAGGTACGATGGAGTGACCAGCCCCGCCTATCTCAGCGTGGGATCGGACGATGGGAGCACGATGGAGGTCTACTACAGCGCCGAGGAAGACGATTTATTCACCTCTGACGAGACTGTTATAGATGTGACAAGAGATGGGGGCAGTTTGGAGGATCTGACTGGGAACAGGACTTTAGTTTCCAAAGAAGACAGTGGTACCAGTGTGCAGAACTTGGAGTTTGTTAGCAGCCTGCATAGATCTGAGCAGAATGGTATGCTAGCATCGCAGGTGACGAAGGACTGGTATGCGAGCGAGGCGTTTGTCGTGGCACCGGTCGGACAAGTGCAGGAATTTGAAGTTGCGCCCAGAACAGTAGGAGATGAGAGAAAGGAGGGGGCTGGAGGAGCGAGATCTGAGCTGGTAGAAAGCAGATTAGTGCACCACGCCGTAGAAAGTGAAGGTTGTAAAGACATAGATGCGTCTGAGGGGCAGTTTGAAGGCAGCAAAGCAGAGGTCAGGGCTGAGCAAGAGGAGGAGGAGCTGAGCGATCCACACAGAGCAGGGGTGGGTGATGAAGATCGCAGGTGCACAGAGGCAGCAGAGGTGAAATCTGATGCACACGGAGACAATAGCTCTGAGCTGAGAGGTGTCCGCGTGGGTTCAGTTACAGAGGAGGAGGGGCAGAGTCAGGGAAGAGACCAGGACCTGGACTGGGACCGAAGACCGGGTCAAAGACTGGACCAAGAGCGAGGTCTGGACCAGGACCAGGAGCGAGGACTTGGCCAAAGTTCGGACCAAAGACTGGACCAGGACCAAGGACTGGACCCGGACCAGGAGCGGGACACGGAGCTGTCACACACAAGCCAAGGGTAAGTCCATGTTTAACTTCAATGCTAACGTCAACAGTTGTACTGTACAAGACCCTTGAGCTGTGTTTCAATGCGTTTAGAGCTGTGGGAACGTAACTTTAAAACCACAATAAAGGTGTGATGTTATAAAATCTGTGTCACTAGTTCAGGGGACTCCAAACACAACCTTTTGTGTTTGGAGAGCTACCTTAGCGCAGCAGAAAAAGCTACTTGTATTGTAGTTGTAATAAACCTATGGTCTCTGTAATAACTGCAGAAATGGACAACACTTGTGTAAAATATACCTTTATTATTATAGTTTCACCGACATTAGAGAGCATTAGAGAACAGAGAGAACATTAGAACAACTTCTTCTCATGTTCTCCATCTCTGCTTTCACATGTGTTATCAGCTCGGTCACATGTTCACATCAGCTTTAACAATGATACACCCAAAGAGTCAGATAGTGCCTCAAAGGGCTCTCATACTCAGAATATGACGTGTTTACTTTTGTGTTCTGTTGCCACTAACTGCATGTTGTTTATGAAACAGATAAGTTAGCTTAACCGAGCTTCAACAGCAGAACTCCCTGAGCAGTCAATCTGACTGCTTTTAGTTTTGGAAGTGTCATTACTGCTAATGTTTGTGTTTGGTCCGGCACTGGTCCTGGATCAGACCCAGAGCCATTGTTAGTTACCATAGTAACATACTGTTTATTGTTAGCAGCTAGCATTAGCCTTTAGCATTAGCTGTTCACCAAACTGATTCCTGTTGTTTGCAGTTATAGTCACAGGTTTGAGCTCTTAGTGAATAAAACAAAAATAGTAATGAAAATTAATTTAAATTGTAAATTGCCTTGTTTATTTATACAAGCGAGCTTATTTGTATAATCCATGTATGCTGACCCTTATCCTAAGACACTATAGTAGACAAATATTCTTATGTCTCAGACACAAGGACACTCTGAGGGCTGAACAAAACCAACTTCATAAACAATCACAGTGCGTTGTTGCAGAAACTTTAACATTAATTTCATAGATGTAGATACTTTATTGATCCCCCATAGCAGAAATTCATGTGTCCAGCAGCAGAAGCCTCATCCAGGTCTGTTGTACAGTCTGACAGCAGAAGGAACATTGTCAGAAATGAAGACTGTCTCACTTTTTCAGGAAGGCTGTCTTTGATGCTGCATGTATCATGTATGAAAGGCTGCCTCCTCAGAGAGAGAGATCCTAGACCAGAGAGAGACCTGAGACCAGGACCGTCTGGAGGGGGTTGCTGCATTTGCTGCATAAACTGGTCTCTTACTCATATTAATGGACTTAGAAGTACAGCTAACCACTTCTAATTTCTTATGGTGGGCTATGTTGTGTACTGAAGTGTAGATACCCAGTTTTGTTTCTTGTCTGTGATGATAATTCTTCAACTCGATTCAACTGTTCTAAAGGCATTGAGAATGTAATTTACAGTACCAGGTACCCTTCTGGTCCCTCTGGTTCTATCCAGGCCCAGCTTGTACTAAAGTAGTAGAGTAGTCTACTCAAGAGTATCTGGGTCAAACCTGTCTCTGAAGGAGGGAAGTGCTGTGGATATTGTTTTAGTGTTAGAGACCAGAGAGTGAGACCAGAGAGTGAGACCAGAGAGTGAGACCAGAGAGTGAGACCAGAGAGTGAGGCCAGAGAGTGAGGCCAGAGAGTGAGGCCAGAGAGTGAGGCCAGAGAGTGAGGCCAGAGAGTGAGGCCAGAGAGTGAGGCCAGAGAGTGAGGCCAGAGAGTGAGGCCAGAGAGTGAGGCCAGAGAGTGAGGCCAGAGAGTGAGGCCAGAGAGTGAGGCCAGAGAGTGAGGCCAGAGAGTGAGGCCAGAGAGTGAGGCCAGAGAGTGAGGCCAGAGAGTGAGGCCAGAGAGTGAGGCCAGAGAGTGAGGCCAGAGAGTGAGGCCAGAGAGTGAGGCCAGAGAGTGAGGCCAGAGAGTGAGGCCAGAGAGTGAGGCCAGAGAGTGAGGCCAGAGAGTGAGGCCAGAGAGTGAGGCCAGAGAGTGAGGCCAGAGAGTGAGGCCAGAGAGTGAGGCCAGAGAGTGAGGCCAGAGAGTGAGGCCAGAGAGTGAGGCCAGAGAGTGAGGCCAGAGAGTGAGGCCAGAGAGTGAGGCCAGAGAGTGAGGCCAGAGAGTGAGGCCAGAGAGTGAGGCCAGAGAGTGAGGCCAGAGAGTGAGGCCAGAGAGTGAGGCCAGAGAGTGAGGCCAGAGAGTGAGGCCAGAGAGTGAGGCCAGAGAGTGAGGCCAGAGAGTGAGGCCAGAGAGTGAGGCCAGAGAGTGAGGCCAGAGAGTGAGGCCAGAGAGTGAGGCCAGAGAGTGAGGCCAGAGAGTTTCAGGACTCCTTTAGAAATCTCTGAGAGGCATAAATCAGACTCGATAGTGACCATGATTCAACAAAGCCATATTGGCCTAAACTTTGTCCGTTGCTGTGAAAGAAGGGACTCCAGGCGACGAAAGAGAAACACACAAACATGTCATCTGATCAGACACACAAAACCAGCTGAGGAATCAGCACCAGAGAGAGAGCAGAGAGTGAGAGGGAGCAGAGAGTGAGAGGGAGCAGAGAGTGAGAGGGAGCAGAGAGTGAGAGGGAGCAGAGAGTGAGAGGGAGCAGAGAGTGAGAGGGAGCAGAGAGTGAGAGAGAGCAGAGAGTGAGAGAGAGCAGAGAGTGAGAGAGAGCAGAGAGTGAGAGAGAGCGAAGAGAGTGAGAGAGAGCAGGGCGAGAGATCTGAGAGCGGGACCGGAGAAGGGGACCAGAGAGAGAGAGGGGGACCAGAGAGAGAGGGGGACCAGGTAGAGAGGGGGACCAGGGAGAGAGTCCAACGAGAGATCAGAGAGAGACCTTTTTCACCAACACCACGCCCAAAGTGTTGGAATGTGTCCACTTAATTTGGAAACATGAGTCATGATTGTAATCAATACTTCTGAAGAGGAAACCTGTGTTTATAGAGATTGACTCACAAGGTGCTTCACTAGTTTAAATCCAGGACTGAGGCCAAAATTAAATTGTGCCTTGCCGATAAAACGAGTCTTCCAACATCGCACTAATCTCCACATCTGGAACAAACCTTTCCTTTGAAGTGGCGCATCTTTATATAGTTAAAGCAATGCTTGTCAATGGGCAGCTCCTCTTCAAAGACTCTCTGGTCTCTCTCTGGTCACTATGGTCACTCTCTCTGGTCACTCTCTCTGGTCACTCTCTCTAGTCTCTCTCTGGTCACTCTCTCTGGTCTCTCGCTGGTCTCTGATTCACTCTCTCTTGTCTCTTTCTGATCACTCTGGTCACTCTCTCTGGTCACTCTCTCTGGTCTCTCGCTGGTCTCTCTCTGGTCTCTCTGGTCACTCTCTCTGGTCTCTCGCTGGTCTCTCCTGTCACTCTCTCTGCTCTCTCTGGTCACTTTCTCTAGTCACTCTACGGTCACTCTCTCTGGTCTCTTTCTGGTCACTCTCTCTGGTCACTCTCTCTGGTCACTCTCTCTGGTCTCTTTCTGGTCACTCTCTCTGGTCACTCTCTCTGGTCTCTGGTCACTCTCTCTGGTCTCTCGCTGGTCTCTCGCTGGTCTCTCTGGTCACTCTCTGGTCTCTCGCTGGTCTCTCTGGTCACTCTCTCTGGTCTCTCGCTGGTCTCTCTGGTCACTCTCTCTGGTCTCTCGCTGGTCTCTCTGGTCTCTCTGGTCACTTTCTCTAGTCACACTCTGGTCACTTTCTCTGGTCTCTTTCTGGTCACTCTCTCTGGTCACTCTCTCTGGTCTCTCTCTCTGGTCTCTCTCTCTGGTCTCTTGCTGGTCTCTGTGGTCACTCTCTCTGGTCTCTTGCTGGTCTCTCTGGTCAGACTCTGGTCTCTTGCTGGTCTCTCGTTGGTCACTCTCTGGTCACTTGCTGGTCACTCTCTCTGGTGTCTCTCTGGTCTCTCGCTGGTCTCTGGTCACTCTCTTTGGTCTCCCGCTGGTCTCTCTGGTCACTCTCGCTGGTCTCTCGCTGGTTACCCTCTGGTCTCTCGCTGGTCACTATCTCTGGTCTCTCTCTCTGGACTCTCTCTGGTCTCTCGCTGGTCACTACTTGTAAGCGTGGATGGATCTAAACACTGCTGCAGGGATGTGATGAGGAACAATATTAAACAAAATGTCTCCTTTTAAAAACAATAAAAATTGCTTTGTCCTCTCCTCAGTTCAAATCTCTCAGGTCTTGTTCAGGACTGAGGGAGCAGCGTCTGCAGGCAGAGCTGTATTGGACTGTTGTGGTGAAGAGGGAGCAGGGTCTATAGTCAGAGCTCTATAAAACTGTTTAAGTGAAGAAGGGGCAGCGTCTGTAGTCAGAGCTGTAAATTGCCTAATAATATAATAGTTTTCATCTGTCTCTAGTGTCTCTGGCCTCTGTCAGCACAAGATGTTTTTGTTGTTGTTGGGACAAACTCTATGTGTGAGTAAAAACAGTTTGTAAATAAAAGCTATTTCCGGTAAATAAATAAATATATATTCTCTTCAGGCCTCTGTGTGTATTATAGTAATTTTTACCCATGGCCCTGAGCTTAAAGAATTATTCATTTATTTATTTCCATCACCATCCAGCCATCAATTTTCCTCCCCTTAATCCATTTCTGGGTCAGGGCAGTGGCAGTCAGAGATGCCACCCAGTACACAGAGCACCAGCCCCTCACTGATCCTCCCGCTCTACGGCATAGCCTTGGTCTTTCAGCAGGGGCTTCAGGCGAAGTGGGGTTAAGTGTCTTGCTCAAGGACACAACATCAGCAGATATCAGTGGGAGTGTGTGGGGAAGGTCTCATGGTGGGCTTGGACACACACCTAAAGCCTCAAAGGCCAATGCTCTACCAACCTAGCCACTGTCTCCTAATGTATTTATTTATTTCCATCACATTACATTCAAATAATTGTCGTCTTGTCAAACAAATGAAAATAATAATAAAGAATAATGATTTTATTTCTTGACACTCAAGTAAAAAGTACATTTTAGAAATAGTTCAAATCCAGTTT